GACTTTGGGGAGCTGGCTGGCAAAGCCTGAGTGGAAAATCAGTGAAGCTAATGGTGTAGCAATGCAGAAGCCAGAGCCAAGAACGCAGCCCTGGAGTGGCTGTGCCGCACGGCCCCAGCGTGGTCAAGCGGGACACATGGGCTCCTCCTTCACACGCGGAGTGTGGGTCCTCCCTGCCCCCACCCCGCCCCGGAACACTTGCAAACACACCCCTCCCAAAGGCACTCTAATCACCCCTCTCTGAGGAGAGAGATCTGGGACAGAGTCGGTCCTCTGGGGGAAACCTGGTAGCACAGCACCCTCCAGACTTCTCCTGGCCTAAATCCTCCATGCTTGTTCTCAAGTGGGTCATTCAACATCACCTTTTGCTCAACGTAATTCCACTCGCCTTGTGGCAGAGGGTGAAGACACTCCTCATACCATGCAGTGTGAATGAGAAGCAAACAGTTCTTTAACAGGAAGAAACTATGCTTGGAGGGAGAGGGGCGCGCTCCTGCACAGGACACTGGTCCTCAGGCCATGCCAATCAGCTGCAGCCAGCAGGCTCACAGCATGTCAGATGCTGGCAGTGGGCCATTCTCTGGTACCGATTCGAGGCTCCACTGAAGCCAGACGGAAATGTGTATCCCTTTGGGCTGAAGAAAAGGAGCCCGGGTTGCAGAGTGGTTAAGCACTCGGCTGCTAACCAAAAGGTTGGCAGTTCAAACCCACGCAGTCTGAACCTACCAGCTGCTCCACAGGGGAAAGATGTGGCAGTCTGCTTCTGTAAAGAGTACAGCCTTGAAATCCTATGGGGCAGTTCTACTCTGTCCTACAGGGTCACTAGGAGTCCGAATTGACTAGAGGGCAACAGGGTTTGGGCTGAAGGCAGCTGCAGGGCCCCTGCTGGGGGGTTGCCTGGGATGGCCAGGACCCTATACCTTGGGACTGGGGCAATGGCTCTGGCCCCACTTGCGGCCCCTCCCCCATGGATGCGGGTTTCTGCGGGACACAAAGCCCTGCTTTGTGGCGCACAGCATCCAGGGGGCTTGCGGCCAGAAATGGAAACGTGCGGCTTTTCCATTAAGTGTCACCTCTCCCCCTTCAACCGGCCACCAGACTCCTTCAAATCTGGGTGGGTGGGAGGAGCTGTAAAACCCCAGCCCATTAAATCATTTATTAGTTGCAGGTTTCTGAGCACGCAGGCAAGTATTTTCAGACTGCAAATCTCACATACTATCCCCCTCTACCATGGGGTCTGGGGTGTTTAACGCACAATACTCCTGAAAACGGGGTGGGACCCCCACTCCTAACTGCAAGAAGTGGCCTTGCAAACAGTTTTGAATTCACACACTTGCCATTCCCCAAGGCTTCTTCTTAAAAGAGAGAAAAATATATGAAAACAACCCTCCCCGAGCTCAGCATTTCTTTCAAGTTGGTGCTTATCTTTCTCAAGGGGCATTCTACCCCTGGGCCCATGACCCAACTTACTTTTATCCACACAACTCCCTCCCTCCAAGCCTAATCTGAAACAAGCTTAGACTCCTTTAAGATCCCAAACTAGAGAAGGGGAAGGAGAGGGAGAAAGAGAGGGAGGCTGGTTTTCCTGGAACCCTTATTAAATAAACTTTCCAAGGGAGCAAGAAACTCCAGGCCCCTCCCCAACCCCTCAGGAGCCTCTGCAAACTGCTAGCATTGCATTAAACTGGGGGAGGGGCTTCCGACACACTACAGTAAAGTCTTTTTAAAGGGGAAAATCTCTCGGAGTGTGAGCAGAGTTTTTGGTAGTTTTCTTTGAACTTTTGGATAAAACTTTTCTACGCAGATTATACTCTTTTTTGAGAACAGTAGTAGCGTTATTATTTAATAATCAGCAGGGCCAAGATCACTCAATAACACTTAACGTTTGTAAAATAGCTTATATTTTACAAGTACAGGTTGCAATTGAGTCGATTCAGACTCATGGCGACCCCATGTGTGGTCCCGGGAAAATGTACCAAACAACCACCATTTATTGCTCACTGACTATACACATACATTATCTCATTTGAGATTCACAGTGACCTAATGAGCAGCTACTCATTGTCTCTGTTTTAGAGCGAGGCTCAGAGAGGTCAAGTAACTTTCTGAAGAGCCAACAGTCAATAAAAAGTGGAGCGAGAATCAAAACCAAGGCAGTCAAGGGAAAACATGGCCACAAACATGCGTGTTCAGAGTAGTTTTATTCATAATAGTCAATATTGTTAACAGCCCAAACATCCATCAACAGGTAAATGGACACACAAATCTAGATACACCCATACAACACAATACTACTCAGCAATGCAAAGTAATGGACGACTGACACATGCAACCACATGGATGAATCGCAAAAACATGTTGAGCAAAAGAAGTGAGACACAAAAGAGAACATTCCAGACGATTCCATTTATATGAAATTCTAGAATAGGCAAAACTAATCTAGAGTGATATAAAGTAGATCAGTGATTGCCTGGGGCCAGCGGTGAGGGGGGACTACCTACAAAGGGGCATGAGGGAAGTTTTCAGGGTGTGAAATGTTCTATATCTTGATTGGGGTGGTACGTGGGGTACGTACATTTGCCAAACACATCCAACTGTATGCTTAAAACTGGTACATTTTATAGTAGGTAAATTATATCTCGATTAAGTGAATTAAAAAAACCAAGGCAATCTAACTTCAGTCTTCACTGCTACACAGCCACCTCTCCCACTCCTTCCCTCCTATTCATGGAGCCTGTACTTTGTCCTCACCATGACCTTCAACTCAGCTCCCTGGCTCCACCTTCCACCCATGGATCACTGCCTCTGGCTTCCTTTTCCAGTCTGGATCCACAACCAGCCACTTAACTGACCTCCCCCACCCACTATCACCACCCTAGAATATGCTCATCAGCCTGGGACATCCCCTTCCTGCTTACAAGTGCCCACCCAAGATCTACACGGTTCACTTTCTCCATTCTTGGGCTGCAAAAGATTTTGCTGGAGAAGAAAAAAAAAAAAAAGTAATTTAGGGTTCATCATAAACTCATATTCACAACTCTGATTTACACTGTGGCTGATCCAAATCCTCCCATCCTAACTCATTCCCTTTAGGCTCATCTCATCTAGTCTTTGTCTCTACAGTCACCCAGAGTCGACGTGCAACCTTCTTAAACCTATAGATTCAATTTCTAGGGCGTCTACTATTTTTTCTCTTTCCTTTCCTCATGGCTTCCACCCTAGTTCATACCCTCACTTCCTCCAGGCTAGACATTCAAAACAACCTTCTAATTCGTCTTTCTGGAAACAGTTAGCAGTAACTGTACTACTAACACTGTACTCATAAGTGCTTTATCCAGGTTATCTCACTTAAGCCTTTACTATTGTTCCCATTTTACACATGAGCGAACTAAGGTGTAGTGTGTTTGAGTAAACTGTCAAAGCAAGTAATGCAGCTATTAAGTGGCAGGGCAGGATTCAAACACAGGTGCATCTCATTCCTTCCTCCCATCCACTCAAATTCAGCTGCCAGATTAATTTTTCGAATAGATGAATCATGTCACTGTTTAAAACTTTTTCATGTTTCCCAGCATCTACCCACTTAAGTACAGTTTCCTTAGCAGGGCATTAAGGACTTTCATATGTGAACTCAATCCAACTTTTCCAGGCATCATTTCCCAGGATTACTCACCAGGCAAACGTTCTCCACACACTTTATAAATCGTGCCTCGGTGCCCTTGCTCAGTATGTTCCACCTGAAATACCCTTAATTTCCCTCTTCCAAATCCCTTCCCATCCCTCAACCCACGTTCCTGCTCCTCCCTGTATTTTGTTTAACTCCACTGTATGGTTCAAACACAGTCTGCCTTTAGTTATGTCTGTGCTTGTCTCTCCCCTACCTGACTGTAAGCTCCCTGTGGGTAGAGATGGTCTCTCCCAGCTTTGAGTCTCCAGCATGTTCTAGCTCAGGTCTTGCCTTATTTATTCAGTTACTGAATACAACATTAATCTGCTTAGTACTCCACACTTTGCACCTCCTAGAAAGTCTCACACACCCTCTCCTCCCTACCACCATACAAGTGGACATATTTTCTCATTCATCATTCATCTTTTAAATAAGGTTCTGCCATCAAGACTGATGGATGGCCCTTTATACACAGCCACCATGTCACATGCACACCCGAGCCTTTCACCCACTGCCTGCCAACCTTCTCTATGTGACCAGCCAAGGAGTCACAAGACACACTGCCTTTGGCAGTAGAAATGCCCAAATATTAGTTCTCAAGGACCCCTGAAAGCCACCAGACAGGTAGTATCTATACTCTCCATGAGGTACTTTCACAATTCGAGCAAATCCCATGAGCAGAAGAACAAGTCCTACCTGTTACTAATAATCTCTCGAATTTTCAACATCTGCTCCCATGCCCCCAAATGCTTCCTGTTGTCAGTCTCTGGGAAATACTGCAAACAGTACATATCCAAAGAAAACCACTTAGCAGGCCCCCAAACGGTACCCATGAGACATGGTCAAGGAGGGCAAAACAGCAGGCACCTGGCCATAACTGCCGACCCTTATATAAGATGTGTCTTTAGAACCATTGTCTAGAAGCCAGAGGCCCTTATCAAGCCCTCACATCCCACGACGTCCCCTGTAGTCTAGTCCAAGTTCTAAATCCATATTCACAGGGCACTCACTTCCCATTCCACTTCTCAGCCCCATTTTATACATCATCTAGGTTAGGGAGCCAGTCCTAGGGTCCCAAGCAGAAGTTCTTTTCTCAGGAAGAGAAAAGCATAAAATGTACCCTGAGCCTGTCACCTTTGGCAAATGGCTGTCAGCAGCCTTCATGAACCCAACCTTGAAGAATTTGGTTATGTTTGTACCCAGACCCAAGTCAACTTAGGTAGCTTGAGAGTTTCTCCACCTGAAATGGAGCTTTCCCAGTGACCACATCACCTCTGTCCAGCCCGCCCTGTTTCTGAGGCCCAGAGTCTGGGCCAGCCCTCAGCCCATGCCTTACCTTGTTCAGGCAAGGCTGGGGGAGGCCTGGCAGTACAGAGTGTGGCTGTGACCAGCACAGCCCAGAAGAGGAGGCACTTCCAGCTCCACATCCCAGTTCTGCAGTTAGAGGTTGGTGACAAGGCTCCACACCTCCATGGGGACTCCACCTTGAGCTCGATCCTCCTTCTCAAGCTGACTCTGGGGAAACAAAACACCAAAAAGTTAGGAGGATCTGGGTGGGAGGGAAGGCAAGAAGTAAAAGAAGGTAAACCAAGTCATACTGCCACCTGACCAGAAGGATGCTTAAAATAATAATGTACTCCTTAAGGCACAAAGAAAAGAACTGGGATCCTACCCAAATGTTGAATTAAAGGTTATAGGTCTTAATTAGACAAAACCAACCAACCAGTTGCTGTAGAGTCAATTCTGACTCACGGCGACCCCGTGCGTGTCAGAGTAGAACTGTCCTCCATAGGGTTTTCAGTGGCTGATATTTTGGAAGTAGATCACCGGGCCTTTCTTCCAAGGTGCTCTGGGTAGACTCAAACCACCAACCTTTCGGTTACCATGAACCATCTGCACCACTCAAGGACTCCTAATTAGACCAAGGGGTGCTTCAATTCAATTATACAACTACTTATTGATTGTGGACTGTGTATAAGCCCTGCTGGGAAAATCCTCATGAAGTTGTCCAAAGTGTAAGGTATAAGGAAAACAAGGTGTAAGGAAAGTGAAGGGCCTCATCAGAGTCCCAAGTGGCTCTGCCACTCTGTGAACCATCTGTGTTATTCACAGAATCCACTTCCCCAGAACATGCACTAATGCAGGGCTTCACAAAGTGTGCTGGGATTGCAGGAGACAAGTATGGTGGTGCCTCCACCAGTGTAGGACTTCACTCAGTCTAGGGCAAACTAATCCCTTTGGTGAGGAGGAAAAGAGATGAAGAATTATGGAAACAGCCAAGGACCAAGAAATGGGATGCCTTGATTCTAGTCTTCGTTTGGACTCAAGTAGCTGTGTGACTCAAATAAGATGATGAACTTCTCTGGGCCTATGCCATGAGGAAGTTGAAACAAATGATCCCCAGGGTTCTTTTTATCTCTGACACTGTATGAATCACAAGTATCTCTAGTTCTATCAGCTTCCCTAAGAGATGGACCACAACCCTCACTACTTAAAAGGGCCTCAGAGTGTGGAACCCTGCGGCGGACTTAGTTCTCCTCCCTGACGCAGAAAGGTGACAGCTGATGTGGGGCAGAAATGAGTTAGAAGTGGGGGAAAGGGGAGAGGGTCCTACTGAAGAGTCAAGGGCTCTTGCAAGGGCTGACTCGAAGATGGCTCATAGCAGCCCCAGTTAGAAGCACAGACTCTACAGCTCTTCACCCTTCTCAGGGCTAGAGTGGTAAAATTTTAAATTCCCTGGGGTCTTAAAAAACAGATCATTGCTGCTAAACATTTACCAAGTGACTAGACGTTCTAGGCACTGTTCGGGTACTTGGGGGTGACCCTCTCTGTCTTCCAGGTGGCTTTTGTCCTAAATGCTCGGGGGAACCATCCAAGTTATTCAGAGAATCTACTTCCCCGGAACATGCCCTAATGTGGTGCATCAGGAGCCCTGCCTCCCCCCGAGCCAGGCTGAGCCCCTTGCGAGTGGCAGCAAACCCCCTGGATTCCAGGCTCTGTTCACATGTGCTCACTAGCAGGAGCGCGCACACACAACCACTAGCTCCTTCTCAAAGCTTACGAATTTTTTTTTTAATGATTTCAAATTAAGGGAGAAATAAGCATTTCTCTTTCATTTTTCTAAATTTAGGAAAAGGACTGGAAGGACAGAATGGAACTCACATTGACTGAATACTGACTATATCCCAAGCATGCACTAGACACCATTTATAGCTATAAAATTTCATTTATTCTCCCCCACAGACTTACGTGACATAGGACTTACTATGAGTCGGAGTCGACTCAACAGTGAGTCGGACTCGACTCAGCAGCAATGGGTTTGGGTTTTTTTTTTTTTTTTTTTTTTTTTTAAGGCAATGTAGAAACTGATACTCAGAGAGGTGAAATATTTAGTCCAAGAACAAACAGCTCAGAAGCAACAGTCCCAAGATTCTCGTCACCCAGGTTTTCGGACGCTAGAGGACAGGGTGGGAGGAAACACATAAGGGATTCATCAAACCTGGTTCTATCTGATTCAAACTCATTTTTTTCCAAAGGGCATCCCCGTGCCAGGAAGAAACCAGGTAGACCAGAGACAATTGATGGGTAACTCTTGGAATGAGCGAGAGTTATCAATTCTCAATTCTTTTGATCGAAAGAAAGAACCTCAGAAGCAGATCACAGCCGTGCCACCTAGGACGTGAGATGGGGCACAGCCCCAGGCCTGGAGTAGAAGTGATGCCTGTTGAAGGCATTCACTACACCCCAAACAAAGCTACACTGAACTGTGCAGGCCCATGACCCAGAAAGGGGCCACAGGTTTGGAGAAACTAAGTGCCACAGAAAACGCCAGAGTAATGGATGAGTTTTTAGTATCCAACAGGAAAGGGTGGTATCATCCTTAGATGATTAAACCTGGTTTCAAATGTACCAGAGAAGCAGCTTCTACCACCACTCAGCCACTCTGTCCCTTGACAAGCCTGCCCACCACCTCAAAGGCAGACTGCCCCATTTAGCTCCATGATCGATGCACTTCAAATTAATCTGGCAGCTTTCCTCCAACTTATTTCTAAAAAGGTGCATAAGTCTCTTCCTCTGCTATAACTTAACCTCTCTGGGCCTTAAGTTTCTCAACTGGAAAACAAAGAATGGTAAGAAAACGCAGCATCCTGGGTTTTTTCCTGGAGGCACCAATTCCTGGAATGAGAATGTAAGTGGGCACACACTCCATTCCACAAACCTGTAGAAAACACAAGTCACACAAACAGCTACCCCATATACTGTCTGGAACCCCGGAGACTGCGGCCTTCTCCTTTACCTTACCTTCTTCTCATTTTACTAATTAATAAATTCTTAAAATCCCTTCAGAATAGTCTCCTTCCTTCACGGCTTGACAGATGTGACCTGTAGCCTCACAGGTGTACACAGCAGCTTCCTCAGAGACTCTGCCACTGGCTCCACACTTAGTCTCTCCGATATCAGTCAGGTCTCCTGAGACATGCAGCCCAACTCCACCTGGGCGCAGAGGCCCTCTCTGGGGAGTGGATGGGGTACCAAGACATCTCCATTTCCCACTCATCACAGGGGACTAAAATATTTGCCCAGCCTGTTACACAGGTGGTCATGAAGATCAAATGGGTAATGTGTCTAAGTGCCTGCTCTACCCTAAGTACTAATCCAGTATAAGATAGGGATTCTATCTAGTGAGAAAGCAGAGGCTGGGCCATATGACCTTGCATCGCTCCCTAATTCTATGACAATAAGATCTCCTTATCCAAAAATGATGTAAAGAAAATCAGCTGATGAGTTCAGGACAAGTCTCTTTCTTTCTGTTCTCTGAAGAAGGTAACAAACGAATTATCGCCCTTGCATTTATGAGCCTGCTACCTAAGGGCAGTCATTGAACCTATCTGAGCCTCAGTTTCCCATTTGTTGGCAGGGGCTAAAATATTTGCTCAGCCTACATCACAGGTGGTTATGAATATTAAATGAGCAGCGTGGGTGAAAGTGCCCACTCTCTCCTCTCTAAAGTACTGATCAAATGTAAAGAATTATAAACATTGCGCTTTGGGCCACTCCCTAATAGCACTCTCAGGAGATTTTGGTAATTGGCGGCAGAAGGACATGTACTTCCTACCTTCCCAAAGGTATTTCTCACTGTTGTTCATTGTCAGGTGCTGTCAAGTCGGTTCCGACTCACAGTGACCCTACGTACAACAGAACGGAACACTGCCTGGTCCTGTGTCATCCTCATAATCATTCTTATGCTTGAGCCAATCATTGCAGCCACTGTGTCACTCCATCTTGTTAAGGGTCTTCCTTTCTTTCACTAACCCTCTAATTTACCAAGCATGATGTCCTTCTCCAAGGACTGGTCCCTCCTGATGACATGTCCAAAGTATGTGAGACAAAGCCTCACCATCCTCACTTTTAAGAAGCATTCTGGCTACACTTCTTCCAAGACAGATTTCTCACTACCCACCTTCATATCCTGTACTGTAGACCTAACAGTCCCATCTGGGACCACTAGCCACATGTGGCTATTGAGCACTTGAAGTGTGGCTAGTCGGAATTGAGACAGGGTCACTATGAGTTGGAATCAACTTAATGGCAAAGGGTTTGGTTTTTGGTTTGTCAATGTAAAATAAACATTGGATTTTGAAAACTTGGTATATAAAAAAAGAAGACTGTAAAGTATCTCATTAAAAATTTTTTATATTGACTCTATGTTCACATGGGTCCCCACGAGTAGAAATCAACTCAACTGCAACTAACAACAAACATGTTCAAATGATAAACTTTTTGATATATTCGGTTGTTGTTGTTAGGTACTGTCGAGTCGGTTCCAACTGTAAGCGACCCTACGTACAATAGAACAAAGCACTGCCTGGTCCTGTGCCATCCTCACAATCCTTGCTATGTTTGAGCCCACTGTTGCAGCCACTGTCAATCCATCTCATTGAGGGTCTTCCTCTTGTTCACTGATGCCCTACTTTACCAAGCATGATGTCCTTCTCCAGAGACTGATCCCTCCTGATAACATGTCCAGAGTATGTGAGACGTAGTCTTGTCATCCTTGCTTCTAAGGAGCATTCTGGCTGTATTTCTTCCAAGACAGATTTTTTTGTTCTTTTGGCAGTCCCCGGTATCTTCAATATTCTTTGCCAACACCATAATTCAAAGGCATCAACTCTTCTTTGGTCTTCTTTATTCATTGTCCAGTTTATACACGTATATGAGGCAACTGAAAATACCATGGCTTGATCAGGCACACCTTAGTCTTCAAGGTGACATCTTTGCCTTTTAACACTTTAAATTGGTCTTTTGCAGCAGATTTGCCCAATGCAATGCATCGTTTGATTTCTTGACTGATGCTTCCATGGGCGTTGATTATGGATCCAAGTAAAATGAAATCCTTGGCAACTTCAATCTTTTCTCTGTTTAACAT